AAGAAGACAACTAAGATGCGGTTGGAATCAGAAGTAGTACAAGAATTTTTAAAAAATAAGCAAAAAAGAAGAAATATAAATTCTTAACTGACAAACGTTTCACTAGAAGAGATACTGAAGTAAAGCTGTTTTGAAAGACATTAAAGAAAGACGAATAACTGACTCTAGGAGATTATTCCAATCAGCAATAGTTGAATAAAAAAAGAATGCCAAATTTTCTCGTATTTAGGATGAGTTTTGGTAAAATCGCTTTTTATTCAAGAAAAACACGTTTAAAGCGAACCTGTGATATACGAAAAGGAAGACGACGCTTAGGAACAGCAGAACATATATTTTATTCCACTTTCATGTATGTCACCGTGCTCAAAATAAATTTGTTTCTCAGTGTTTTTTGGCCTAGGAAGTAGTCGAGATTGCATATTCGCCGTATTTTCTTCATATTCTCTCATTCTTTAAGATATATAGAAAAATGTTCAATATGTTTTTTGTAGAGAATTAAATGACGCATCTTCTAAAAAAGAAATTAAAGTTTTACCATACTTTTGGACTGAGATATATGCAAAATAAAGAATGTTGCAATCATTTTGGCGCACCCGGTATAGCAAAGAAGTGAATTTACCTACAAATATCTCAGAATAGGCTTCAATTCTCTCAAAGCGTTTTTATTCACTAAAATTACATCACTAATCGCTTGTTCAACTACTTATGTTTAACTGCTGAATTTTCAGATATAATTAGCTTTCTGAAACATAGCTCTCTATGCGGCGGTATACCCGGTATATCCATGTCTAAACGATTTAATGAATTATTTTTTTAATTTTCTTATGAAAATATTCTTTAGCCTAGCACAACTAAAAATGAAACTATTGTCAGAGGTTTTTTTAGAATGTTCGCCTTATTTGAATAAATAATCTGATATTTCTCACACATTTTTTTCTTCGAAGGAAGATCTAAGTCTGTCCTTGACTCAGTTTTATTTCATCAAACAAATCTTCATCTCGCAAGATAAATACATATGTGTAACTCAATCAACCATGATTCTGCAACAGGAAAATTTAAGAAACAATATGTTATTCGTCTTTTCTTTCGTCAGGCCGTCTTATCGTTAGACATTACTGAGATTATTCTCTCTTGTAATATGATATTTGTCATAATAATGATAAATAAACAATGATACATAGAACGTATAGATCATTAAATTAAACGTTCATTTCACGTACTTGTATGTAATAGAACGTATATCTCACATACAGAGATCAGTACGAATGAATAATCATCAATACACATACAACAGATAAAAGAGGAAAAGATGCGAACAAACAGCTGAATATTATACTGAATTGAATATGATCAATAGCCTACTTGAGTGAAAACTTTTATTTTGTCATAGCTCACTACTTCAGTTTCAAGTTTTATAAATAGATCTGTTTCAATGGAAAATAATGCTGATTAGATTGAACTCTATAATTTATTTTTAAATGGGGGAGAAGATTATCGTCAATTTCATCAACATTTGTCTGTCGGACAAAACGAGTAGAAAAAGAAAAGATGAAGTTTTTTGTATGGCCTTTCTATGATAGATATGTAATGTTTAATAAAGAAAGACAAAAAAAAAGAACACCAGTTTTTCTTTAAAACACTTTTCAGCATATGATACTTTTTTACAACTAAAATGAGTTTGATCATGATTCAACGATAGGGAAGAAGATTTAACGTTTCCTCAATTATATGATTGTACATCTCGTATGTTTAATTATACAATTCTTCTTCTATCGTTCTGCTTGCATTATATCTGCCTAGAGCAATATCTTCAATACAAGGCTTTTTCTGTCTTTTTTGTCTTTTTTTTTTATGAACATCCAAACGAGCAATCTTCGTTTTTCTTTATTACTTGTTGACATCACCGTCTTTGTTTTTCACATACGAGAGAGAAAAATATCTCCATATAGTTAGATAGATATTAGAATGATAAATAGGCATAAGAATTGCAGCTTGTTAACAAAGAGAAAATATAATTTTTACTTCACAGCAAAAGAAAATGCGTTCAGGTAAAGGAGTACTATACTTTAAATATTACATAATGAGACACAAAGAGAAGAAGAAAAAAAAAACTGCTGTGAAACAAGAATGTTGGATCATTGAGATTTTTTTCTTATTATTATGAGCAAAAAAAGTATTTACCAATAAAAGTTAAAATAAAATTATTCTTATAGTTTTTTTCTACTTGCTGAGGGAAAAAGACAAAATGACATCTGAACAAAGTATCATGAAAAGAGTGGAATATCCTGAATTAATGTTTAAAAAATTGAATTAGAAATACTTTTGAATTTTTAAATTAAATAAGAATAAAAAGTTCAAAAGTTTTTAATTAAAGAATGTGAAATATGTTTAACAGATAGAAATAACGTCATCTTTCTTTTGTATAACAATAACTGAATTTATGTTTGGAGAGTTAATAGGATGATTATTCGTATAAAAATGAATGTAATCTGTAAGAATATTTTTGTTATTTAGTGTTGTTTATAGTAGATTAAATCTATACCAGTTTTTTTTTGTTTTTTTTTATAAATCTTGTTATTTTTTGAAAAATGAACAAAATACTTCAAAAAAAACTTTTACTAAATGATCAAATATTATTAATAAATTGTCGTATTCTCATTTTTATATAGAATCTGTGAATAATATTATTTATTTTTATTCTAATTTTGTTTGTTATTGATTTTTAAAATTCATGTATCTACCATGTTCAAAGAGAAAGATAAGAAAAGAAAATGAAAGTCTGTATATTATGTGTGTACGTGTTTCTTTTCATATATTTGTGTAGGTGTTACAATGATTACTTGAAAATTTTTTATTTTTTAAAAAATACAAAAATTTTTAAAAACAATAATTGTTGAAGTCATACAAATGATTTTTTATTTTTTATTTTGTTAATCTAATCATATTCATAAATTATTATACAAAAATTATTTATTTATACGAATAGTCTATGATCATTTTAATAATAAATAAATAATATTATTTTAAATTTGATTTGTTATCCAGTAAAAAATATATTATGTTTCTACAATAAATGAAACTGTTAAAAATATCGTTGAATTAAAATTAGTTTCATATACTAACACATAATAGAGAAGATACGATTGTATACAGTCAGTTTGGTAAGCAAATTGTTCATAAATCATATAAAAATAAATCAATAATTTTCTAAATGAAGATAATTTTTTTTCTAAAAAACAAATAAATATATCTATATCATCCATTTATTTTTTTGTTTTTTTGAAACGAATCAATTGACAATATTTAATAATTTAATATCATTATTTAGTATAGATTTCAATAAAGTTTTAAGATCAAATAAAAACATGTAATGAACAAGAATTAAACTTAAACAACAATTACAAGATAAACGGGGTGACATTTGATGAAAGCTAGATGAGCATTTTAAATAATAATAATAATTGTTTCAATTTGCCTTATTAATAACTATTTGATATTTGACTAGTGAGTAAATATATTGTCTATAAATACAAATAAAATTTATTAATAATCAGAATGAACGATGATCCAAAACTGAACGATTCAGAAACCATATTTGAAAAAATATTTTCTATAATACTATCATTTAAATACATCAGTCTTATTCTCTTTTTAATATTAAATTTTTGAATATACAACATCAAATACTTGAAATTTGTTGTTGTTGCTGTTTTGTGTACGTTTAAAAATTCTATTGTATATAGAAAAAGGAGAGATTAGATTTAGTTTCAGAAGGTCATTAAACATAATAATTAATATAAAGTCATTTTACTTTAATATAATATAAATTAGTTTCATTTTTATAGAACTATGATTAAGTAAACATTGTCTATTACACGATTGTAGTGTTGAAAAAGCAATACATACTGTTAAGTATGTGCTTTACTAATTTTTGATAATGAATTGTTTAAATAGAGTTAAGTATGACAACTATGAAAATAAAGATTTTTGTTAATATATAAGGCGACTTGACGTTTTTCTTTTTTTATGTGTCCTTTTTCGAGATTTTCTTTTTACAGTATGACATTAAAAATATAAAAGTAAGAAAGAAACAATGTGTGTGATTGCTGCTGCATGATAAAATCTATTAATAACTTATTTGTAAAAAATACAAAGAAGAGAAAAAATTTGATCACAAAACTTATACTGAAAATTGAAAGACATTATTTCTTTTTTTTAAAGAAAAAAAGTCTAGGTGAGTAGTTACTAATTTTTTTAAAGTTGTCGTTTGTTATATAAAACTGTTTATCTATTCTTTTATATGTGTTCATAATCATGACTAGTATTTATTTTCTCTTGAAACTGGAAGATTAACTCTTAATCTCTTATTGTTTTGTTTTTATGTAGATATAATATTTTCTAGTAAAATCAACGATTGATTTTTATCAAAATAATGGTACTAATAATTATATCAAGATAGATCGGAGACATTAATTCAAAATATCCAAAACATGATGTATGAATGGTAATTGAACAGATAGATAGAGTATATTTAATTATTGTAGTTATTTTTTTATAATTTTTTAGTCGATTAACTATTCCTATTATTATTCCATTGAAATTAAAACGATATTTACATGATTAAACGTTGAATTATAACAAATGACTAATGTCAGATGGAATAAAAAACCCGACGAAAAGTAATTTATTGAATTTATAGTTTTTATTCTACTATAATATAAAATGAGACTGAATATGCTTAGAAAAATACGCCTCCACTAAGAAACAAAACCATATAAATGGTTAATTAATAAACAAAATATAGTATTCTCGTTCACGAGCGTTAGTTGAGACGTATTTTTCTTCTTTTTATAATTTAGCTTACAAATTAATAACATATCAAAATCATATCTATTATGAAATTTGTTGGCTTCATATCTATTATTTTAGTAAACGTGACTAATCAACAGCGAAAATTACCATTTAATATAAACGAAATGGGTGATATTCTATTAGATGCAATGCAAGGTGTTTTATTATGTCTTGATAACAATCATGTTATTGTTGATGTTTCTAGAACAATTAAACGTTATATGGGTTTTGATCAAGTAAAATATTTACATAAAATATATGTCTTCTCTTGTTTATTATCTATTATTGTTCTTTTCAGACTGATGTTATTGGACTATCAATATTATTGTTAATTGAAGATTCCGAGAGAGATGTATTTTTCAAATTTCTAACCAATACTCAACAACGTAAGTGATTTTTATGGTAATGGTTTGCGTGAAAGATGAATTTTGCTTGTAGAAAAATGCTCTGATCTGTTAAAAATCGATACTAAATCGAAAAAAAGTTTCAATTGTTAAGAGGGAAAGAGAGAGAGAGACCGTCCTTGAATAATCTGACTTATTCTTTCTCAATTTCTTTTTATCTGATTTTAATTTTAGAAATCGATTTATGTAATGTTCGAATGATGTACGGTTTAACGAATGAATATCGCTATGTCAAAGTTCATTGTAAAAAGAAAGCCAGTCCTCACGATGATATTGGTACTGAAAAATTTTACATTTAAGATTTTTTTCTTCCATTATTTCGTTTTTTTTCCTTTATATCATAAAGAATCGTACGATCTTCCTCATTCATCAACGGGCACAGCTACCGTGTGTACAATATTAGTATTGACACAAAATGATGCATCTTATATTGACATAAATTTGTTTGATATAAATAAACAGGAATTTTATACAAAAATGAATTTAATGGGCGAAATAACGTTGGAAGATCATAGGTGTGTATGTGTAAGTGTGTTACTCAAAATTAATTATGAGTTTGTATCTGTTTAGAGGAACACTTATTACCGGATATCTTCCAAATGAAATCATTCGTCAGTCTATTTTTAATTTTGTTCATCAAGATGATTTACTCATTAAACTTCATGGACTATGGAGATGTTTGTATATCTGGAGTGTCGTATATGTTGATGTTCTTTCATTTTATTTATTCAGGTTTCACTACCGGATTGAGTAAATTACAATGGCGTCTGAAAACAAGAGATGGAAATATTGTTTATTTACAAACAGAATACGTACTTGTATCCGGACATAGTGATTCATCAGATACAATTGTTGCAAGAAATGAAGTTTTAAAGTATATTACTCAACATTCATTATTCTTCTATCTCTATTATCCTAACGATTTTAGTTCAGACGAACGTGCAAAATTTCTTGAAAATCAAAAAAATATTAAATTACAATGTGCAGAAGAAATGAAAGGCCATCATTCATTTTTCAAGAAAAGTAAGTTCTAAACTACTCATACAAATGGAAGAGAAAAGAAAAGAAGGAAAAAAGCCTTTGTTTTTCAGTACCAAATGATCAACACCAGTACAATAAAAATGAGACGAACCATAATGAACAATACTTTTGTAAATTATCTATACCATCTATAAATATGTGTTTTACAACGTCAAAAAACAAGTTGAATCCTATACATGTAAATGGAAATATATTTCATCAGAATAAAACCACTCGACCACTGAATATTCAGGATTATATTGACATACTCATTGATAATGAAAAATGGATTGATAATGAATTACAAAGTATGATTAATGATATACAATCATTAACAGCCAAATATCGTCGAATACAACAACAACAACAACAACAACACACCCACTCATCAGGCGAATCACGATCTTTGCGTGATACATCTGGTATTAGTTTTTTTTTTGTTCTTAAATTTTGTTTACAGTTTTAGTACAAATCGTTTTTTTAGATGTTGATGATAAATCTTCGACAAACCATAATGATGGTGATACTACTTCTAAAACATTGCCACATCAATTATTTCTTCTGAGGAAGAACAGTACAAACAATAGTACTGGCAATTTTTGTACGATGTCAGAAGAGCCAAATTTTCTATCATTACTATTACCAGAGGATAATCGAAAAAAACGTGATACTGATTCTATTGTACGCGGTATTTTGAGTAATTCGTTAAATTACAATCCAGATAATAAGCAATCAGGTAAGAAGAAAAACTAAATTCCTTCTGAAATGTCATTATTATTTTGCAACTTGTTCAGATTCATCAACATCATCAGCTTTGATAAATGATACAAACCCTCCTCTTCCGGCACATATGAATGATGATAATTCACCTGCGATACAACAGATTCCATGCAATCCACGAGGACAGGTAATATTTAACAGCTAAATACTGTTTAAATTTGAATAGTAAAATCTTTTTTGTGTTATACACAGATAGTACCATCATTAAAAGATCAACAACAGAATGATCCTATGAAGCAACATACTGAATTTTTAAAAAAATATCATGCAGCTAAAACAAAATTAGAACTTCAGTTACAATCAATTATTTTACAAGAAAAAGATTCAATGAATAATGGATCAATGACAGAGTTATCAAAATCAAAAGTAACTTTCGCTTTCAGTTGTTTTACACGACGTGTCTGATCTTTTTTGGTCTTCTAGACTACAACAGTCACCAAACTCCTTCAATTGGAACAGATTAAAGCAAAGCATATGGCAAAAACATTTGAGCCACATCGTCACTCTGGACAATATACTAATAATCAAGATATTTTAAATACGACGTTTTCAAACTCAATGGATGATACAACACAATTCGATCCGTCCAATAATCTGTTTTCAAATTATCACCAGCAACAGCAGCAGCAACAACAGCAGCAGCAACAACAGCAGCAGCAACAACAGCAGCAGCAACAACAGCAGCAGCAGCAACAGCAACAGCAGCAACAGCAGCAGCAACAGCAGCAGCAACAACAGCAGCAACAGCAACAACAGCAATCACAAACTTTTATGTCAAGGCCTCCACAACAAATGCCGTTCGATTATACTCCTCAGAATCATTCTATGTATCCAAATCAACAAGGACCACTCTATCAATCGTTATCTCCATCATTTCGTTTCCCGAATGCCTTTAATACTGAAGAAACGAATTACAATCTAACTGGATCGAACTCAACAACAATTAAAACATTTCATGAATCAGATTCATTGTTTCTACCACCGCCTCCTTCATCCATTGAGCCGTCTCCTTCTTCCAATCAAATTTTTCAACAGCATCTATCTAGTGATCATTCAACATCATCGTTCAACGTTCAATCTTACATGAATGTTCAATTGTTTGGACATTCCCCATCAGATTCAAGGCAAACAACATCTTACAATCAAAATGATACTAATTCGTACAAATACTAAATAAAATCGATTCTACCTATTACATATTTATTCGAGAATGAAATGTACCATTATAATGGAAGTTTACGATTGAAAAGAGTAACGACACAGGTGTCTAGTCGAGTTTTTGCTGTCTTCAAAATAGTCAATATTCCATTCCTTCTACTATATTTTATTGTAAATAGAGATCAACAGTTTTTTACATTTTAAACTTGTCTTTGCTCAAACTTTTGATCTTCTTTAATGGCTACTAACAGTGCCCCTCTGACGTTTTTTGTACATAATTGCTTTTTAGTTTAGCAATCGTAGATATCTGTTTTACGGTCCATTCCTTATAAATGCTGTCTTATTCGAAAAAACGTCCAACACACCACTCTTGTTTTCACACACCTCTGGAGTGTGTGTTGTTGCTATTGTAAATTTAAAAGTTTTGTTTGTTGTTGTAGCATTCACTCACTCATTGTCACTGTTCATACTTTTGTATGTTTACCATGTTTTTTATCGATTTTTTGTTGCAATACTCTGTTGAACAGTTTTTGCTTTTTATATGTTGTTTTATCTGAACAGTGGGGACGCGCGTGGTGAGAGTAAAAGTAACAGAATAAACTTATTCGTCTAAAATTTGGCTTTTCAGTGGAGTTTGTATGGATCATTGGATGTTTCATTGAAAACAAGGAGGAAATGTAGCGTTATTGACTGGAAACTCCATCTCTAAGCAGTGTTGTTTAGTGGGATCTTACTATTGAGTATAGGAATATCTGAGGCTTTTTTTCTCAGAAAATTGAATCCAGAAGTTATTTTCGTTTGCATCTTTCACGCGTGTGTGATCGATGATATCGTGCTGTTACACAGTTTCGTTTTGTTTATTTGATTCAAGAGAGCGCCACAATCAGTGTAATGTTTGAAAAAAGAGTAAAGTAATATTATATGGCGGCACTCATCGGTAGAATATTGTAACATTTAGGATTCTACACTTCTTTTCGAAACCATACTATTTTTTTCTTATACAATATAAGTCTGTGAACTAGATATGCGTGAAATGCATATGTGTTTTCAAATTTTGCTTCATTACATATTGAACGTTGATATTTGTTACCTACTAGCAGAAGTACTCATATGAAATACATTTTTGAAGATTAATATATTTTTGCAATCTGTTTTCAATTGAAGACAAAACCAATTTTTACATCAAATAGAAGAGAATAGGCAATTAATGCACTTTTCTGCCATGTTGAGGCAACAATGAATATTGAATTGTCTAATGGCGACTTGAAAACTTGTTATAACCTAGCGAAATTACTACGTCAAGAACTAACTGAAGAATTTCTTAAACTATACGATAGTCTACCAGAATGGAATGGAATTAAGGTAATGGCTTTAAACCCTATTCATATGTTTTTGTTTCGCCCTTGTTATAAATGCCGAACATTTAAAAGATTAGTTTGCTTCTTTCTCTAGCTTTCAAACGCCAAAGAGCAAATTCGTCAATTACAAGAATTGTCTGACATTGAGTTTGAGCAGTATAACATTGAACTCGAGAGAAACAACGACAAACTGGCTGACAACATTGGTAACATTGCTAAAATGTCCAACTCAATGGATGTTAATAATGAAACCAATGGAAGTCATAACAGCGCCGATAACAACAAGTATAAATTAATTCAAAATGATAGTTATCAAGAACAAGAATATTATAAATCATCAAACACATCTTGCAGTAGATTGCCTGTCATAGAAAAGAAAAAGCAAGAACATGAAACGAAAGCAGTAGACGATTTCGCCCATTATGAGGCGTGTACAACTCCATCAAAAAATGTTTTACAATCGTCATTTCAGTAAGTATTCTTTTTCGTTGAACTGAAACGAAGAGAGCAAAAGAAAACCTTAGCAACATTATTGGATGCGGTCGAAATATCGTATTTCAAAATCGATAGTCGTCAGCCACACACGCGATTCGAAAACTTTGAGCTAATCTCGCTCAAAAGCTAAATTAAACAGAACCGACAGAAGAGTAATCAATCAATCGTTTCTTTTATCATTTTATTCTGTTTTATTTCAGAAAAAATCCATCTAGTTTGAACACTTTATCATCGAAAAATGTTTATTCAAATGCAATGAATTCATCCGATGTGTATGCTCGTTTTACTTCACCAGTATCACAGTTTCAACATGAGAAGGATGAGACAAAAGGACGATTATTTATCGATGTTGAGCAATATAAAAAGGTAAGTGTATGTTTATATAGGATTGCAGATGATTATGCTGCTTGTTTGAAAGTCACAACTGTTTGAATTTTGTTTTTCTCTTCTCACTTTAATGTGCGTTATCTGGTTGATGCCTAAAACTCAATTTTTGCTATTTTGGCGAATTATTTTTTCTCCTACAAAAAGTTGAACCATACCAGAAAATAACAGGCTCTGTTTACTCCACAAGAGAAAAATAATGAAGTTGCCATAACGTATGCGAGAAAAAAGATTTAACACTTATGAACGAGTAGAAATAACGAATTTTCATTTTTATCGCGTATGTGTCTGATTTCGAAGTCAAGTTGGTCTTTAGATATAAACAACACTGTTGTGAATATGTACTCGTATTTTTCTCTCCTCTTTTGTTACATGCTCGTAGAAACAATGAGACATTTCTATTGCATTTTTTTTCCTTTTCATTTTGTTATGCATTATTGTTTATAGTAAAATAATTTGCAACCTTTCATTTATAATTTTGTAATCATCATATTATATCTGATTAAGACAAAAACAAATATGTTCAAATGAAGATGCACAAATACATAAATTTCTATCATTTTAACCATAATAAGGTATGAGATACGATGATATAATTTTTTCTAAAATTATTGATTATGTATTATTCTTGCTGCTATATTCAGATCCATTTTTTATTCAAATAAAGTTCATTTTAGAAATAATGGGCAGTTAATTAACTTAATGTGGTTTATTTTTGTCTTTTTTTTTGAACAAATAATGAAAAATTTGTTCTTTTCTGTTTCTCTCTTTTTCTCGTTTGTTACACGTGTATTATGTGCAACAAAGAATAAAAGAAGATGCAAAGAGAGACGCTTCATTTATCGCGGATATCTCTGGCTATTTTCTCTTTCTTTTGTTTTGTTTGAAGAAGAAAGGAAAGAAAATCCAAACGACCGATGTGTACCATATATAGTTATATACACACGTCTGTATATAGAAACATATCATTCAATTTCATTTATAATACTAAAAATAAAGCACATACACTTAGAATATAGTAAAGACTTTGTAACCGAGGAAAAGAAGAACGAAATCGAAATTCGTGATCACTAGAAATTCTATGGTATTTTTTTGTTCGATTTATATGTAATATATACTGAAGCGTCTCTCTTTTGTTTCTTCTAGACGATTTCATCACCATTTTATAAAACACAAGTGCCATCCGCGTGTCCACCAATCGAAGCCAGTGAACTCATTCAGCAGCAGCAACGTGCGGCAAATCATGCAACAACGTTTTTGGATAAAACAGCAAAAAATAGTTCGATGAAAAACGCTCAAAATAGTAGTAGTAATAATAATTCGTCAGCACCAACATCGCATCATAATGAACATGAAGATAAAACGTTCGGCTATTTTATACCATCATTAAATACAATTGATAAACAGAAAGAACATTTGTCTACCTTCTCATTTTCATCATCGCATAAACCACCATCAATTGATGATAGTGATGAGCAAGATGATGAAGATAGAAACGATAAGATCAAATTAGAACTATCTAATCAATATAAGTCCACAAAGTCTTCAAATATTGCTTGTTTACACCTAGATCAAGATGAGGAAACCGAAGAACAAGAATTACCATCACTAAATGAGAAAAGTCCACTTTTAAAATTAAATACTTTAACAGCAACAAAAAAGGCTAAAATTGATGATAATTCATACAATATAGTATCAGCTTATGGTACAAATCTGTCTTCATCACATGATCTACGACAACATGCAAAACTAATTCCAACAACGAGTGGCTATAATTCACACGGTTCGTCAACAACAAAATCGTCATCAGACAATAGTGGTAGTACACGTACAGAATCAGATATTGATGAAATTCCCAGTGACGATGAACATCATAATCTAACAAATAACACTCATAAACATTATCAATTACCTGAACCATTGACCATTGACACTAATACAGCTCTAGGTCATACACTAAATAAAAAAACAACCACATTTCCCTCTATTTGTAATAGATCATCGACTGATTCTAAAGGCATAACCACGTCGACGTTAGGCACTACGTTGGTAAGGACATTATCTTGTTTATTTTTATTTATTTTTCTTCTGTATGTTAAGTAGTTACTATAAGACAGTATTACATAATTCATCTAACGTTTTGCCATTTTTCTTCTATAGTATCAGAATGTCAAAAATAAAAGTACATCACTATATGTGGACGATGATCGATTCACACCAGGTAAATAGAAAAGTATTTTGACTTTTCATAATACATAGTTTCCAAGTTTTCATGCATGTGTTTTTCAGGTGATGGCAGTAATTACAATTTGACAAACAGTTCTCAGAGTAATCATAATGATGATGATGGACCTGATTACTGTTTGGTACCACGTATTAAGGGTACGTATTTATTGTGCATAAGTAAACTTCTTCTGAAAAAATTGATTAACGTGGTATAATCATGTTCAAAACAACGATGAAATACAAATATATTGAAATGGAAAAAAGCTGATCTTAATCGGTTATAATATCCAACATTTACATACCATTACCGTTCTTATCATGAATTTGATACGTTTTTCACATGTTTTTGATTGTTAAAAAAGTCACTACTGATATTTGATAATGTATGACAGATAGGTGGATGATCAGTAGTGAAACTTTTCTATTTTAATTAGTTAACAGTTGGTTTGTTTAAATTCATCACAGCCTCCTTTCAACTCGATAGCAATGCTTTATTTATTGATCGTTATATACGCCCATAATTTGTTCTTTGCAATAATTTAAAAATCTTAAAAGTTAAAATCAGGAAGATCAGCATATGACACAATACTACTTCGTTGTTCATTTTGCTAGAATCTTATCTTTTGATCTATAGCAAACTTTTCTTTCAAAATCTGTCCAGCTATATATATATATATATACATTTGTTATTTTGTTTACCGTTAAGATAGAGCACGTACACACCCTAAATTTTATGTCTATGTATACATAATTTACACTTGCAACTAGATAAACTTGTGTGCGTTTACAAAAACAAAGAATATAATATCCAGATGTCAAGAAAATTTTTTTCAAAAGAAAAAAAGTTTCAGGTTTCGATTGTATAAAACTAGCTTTAATTCATACATGTATACACGTGTTTTTAACTTGTTTTTACTGGACGTATGTGAGTCACTTTTCAACTACGTACTTCACACATACACGCTGAAGTAACAATGTAAAAAATGAAAGGAAGAAAGAAAAATAAAGATGTTATGTGATATGCACATACGCATTTGTTATCGTATATTTTGTCGTTGCATTAATTATCATGTGTAGATGTTGATTATTTCATGAAGTTAAAATATGCAAGATTTTACGATGATGTATCTCTATTGCAGACTTTCAGAAAATTTAATTTTTATTCCATATAGAAGTAGGTTTGATAGATGATTGTTTTCCATGAAGTGAATTACGGGCATATCCAATTTTCTTACTTTTTCTTCCTAACTTATTGAAATAAGAATTCTTTCTCGAGTTTAAAAAAGATCGATAATTTGTTACAATTTGTGTTTACTTTTTAGACACAACGGCAAAATCACCTGATTATCCTCAAAATCATCCATCATTGCCTTCTTCCTGGGCTTCGTTTAATTCAAATCAATTTCTAACACATACTATTGCTACAACTGCACCATCAGCTTCATCATATTCGCCTTCCATTTTAACAAACAGCGGTAATACATCCACTTCAACATCCTCTAGTCATAGGTAAATAATTTGTTTCACTCTGAAGGTACTAATCAGTCTATAGAATTTACTAATCAGTTTTTTATTCGATAGCGGTCAAAATTCAGCTCGAAATAATCGTCTTGGACCAACTCGCACTGCAAAAGGAAAACGTAAACCGGTATGATGGCTAGAGTCCAACCAACTCTAGTGATGAGTTTATTTGGCAAATTCTTTTTTATTTTAGAATCAACAAGAAAACCCAATCAGAGCTGAGTTAATTCCTGGACATCGAGGTGATCAAGAAATAGATAAACTACTTATGTTTATTGATGGTGATGATAATAATTGTGATTCAACGTTGGAACAAAAAAAAGACAATCAGCGTAATCGTCGTAGTACTACGAACACGAACGTAAATTATAATACTATTGCAACTACATCTCATTCGAATACTACAAACACTACTATGACAGCGACTATGATTAATCGTGACGGTTCGTCTTTCGTATCGACTTCGCCTTTATCTTATTCAAATCTCGGCTCACAATCAAAACGAAAAAGTCGAAAACCCGTTAAAATCGTCAACAGTAGTCGTGATCAATCACAATTAATTGTTGAAAATAATTCAATAGAGAAACATTTAGTTGACGAATCTTCAATCGGTTATATCGATGAAGATGAAGAAACGGTGAATATACTATCGAAATCAAATGAACAATCACATTCCAAAGACAATACTTCTATTGATATTAATAATGATGACGATAATAATAATTCAATGAACGAGATAAAACAAGAAATTAATAATTCAACTACATCTTTAAATGAAGAACGAACAAATTCCACAAATAGTGTTGCAAAGGACTCCGCTGAAGTAAGATCAGCTCTTCTTTCTACTAAAAACTATATTCATAAGCGGATTAGTCTCGGGAACGAGAGCTAGTATTGTTGAATATGGGTAGCATATAACTGTTGCTAATTTTCCTTACCGCTCCAAAGGAAATTAGTCGTTTCGAGCATTTCGTTTTTATGAGTTGATAATTGGACTAATATGCCATTTTGTATGCCATCATTTTGTGCGTGTTTAGGATCCTTTACTAGATTGTGTGTTTATTTTGACATTGTGTCCTATGTTTGCATGGTTGTTAAAAGATGAAAGTCTTATATTTAACAAATTCGTTTTATTTATTTTTAGATAAGTATTGAGCAAAGTATTATAGAATTACAAACACCAGTTATTGCGTCAGAAACAAATCGACCATCATCACCGATGTCAAATTTGTTATTTCCAAGTGGACGTTCAACCGAAAATGAGCCATTTGTTACTGTTACACACCGTCGACGAACAACAAAGGATCGTCGAACAATCAGTTCTCATGAGAATAATAATAATAGTCAAACCATCCCACAAGCACCACCTCTAATTCGTACACCACGTTATCCGTTGATAAATTCTTCTTCCATTGAAAAACAGCGTAATATTTCTAATATAAAGACAAAAAATGAACAATCGAAACAGCAACAACAATCGACAAATAAAAATATAATTGAAGATAAACAACCGAGTGAATTAAAACAAAATGATCCATTACAATTAGTAACATCTGCAAAACTAACATTTCCAGAGCCGACTCTTCTTCCGTCACCTTCAACAGAGCCACAATCACCCACTACTACCGCTAATAATAATAGTGAAATAAATGTTTCTCCACTCGTTCCTGGTTTATCATCTCAATCTTCTTCATCGACATCATCCTCATCACCATTAATGAAAAAACCGTCAAAATCAACAGAAAATAGTCTGTCAAAACAGCCACCACCGCCTGTCGTATTCTTAAACAGTGCTGGACAACAAATTTTAGATGATATTGCATTGTCAACACAACTAAATGGTTTAACATTCGGTTTTCATGAAGATGTTATGTCTTCTAGTGATGATAAGACATCGAAAATACAAGTCGAACAAATGAATGCATTCACTATTGACCAACAAAAAGTGAGCAGAAGACAAAAGAAAAAATTGTTGTAACTGGGTGCTTTTTCCGTTTAATCACGTACCTGAAGTAGGAGCGAAATGTTTTCCCTATTCAGCAAATATCGCTTAAATATTTTTGAA